CGTCCTTTTCCACGTTACACCATGTTAACCACTCCGTGATTAGGCGGCTTTGACGTCATCAAAGCCACCACTGTGGGAGCAGCAGTACGTTAAAAGCTTGCCTCCAGTGACGTCACGTGTAAGCTACCAATTCGAGTAGTCCTAGGAGTCTGGCCTACAGCATGAAAGAGCTTGAGATGCTTTTGTTGGGCGCTGAAGTTGTCTGCAAGATACGCCGGGTGCGTTCGGTGTACAAGCTGGACTAAACCAAGAACGATTCGATTTGAGGTTAGCTCGCCTACCTGGTCGAAGCTATCGATGACTGGCTGTCAAAATACGAGTACATGCCGCACTGAACTTGTTGTTACGAATGTCACGTGGTTGCCGGTCCTCCATTTGTGCCTGTTCGCTCGCTGTTCATCGTTTTGAGCATCAAAATATTTTAAAGAATACAACAAGGGGGAAAAAAAGAAAGGACAGATTGATAAGATCGCATCAAATAAAAATAGCAATCTTTATATTTATTCCTCAATAAAGGACATGTTCGTTTGACGAAATGCCTGTGTCCATGGCTCTTTCTTCTTCACTCTGTACGTCGTCGCTTATAAGCCAACTTATAGCAGCCATTCCAGACAGTGTCTTTCGATCAAAAGCAGAAAATAGCAAACACTTTACACGCCTGATTATCACTTTAATCTCCTACTTTTGTTGCGTCTGTGATAGCCTTGTTCTGGAATAGCTAATGCGTTGGCTTGTATGCGATGATATGCGGCATACTTCAAACCACTGTCCTCTTCCTCGCCTTCCTTTAGCTCTAATCAAGGAGGGTCAATGCGGCGGCACTTTTCATCTGACGGAAATGTATTTTGGTAGTGTTGTTTGTGAGCGTTCGTACGCCTTGAGACATAGATAAAACCTCCTCAATCGCAGTGAAGGTCATGTCACAGCTCTATAGGTTTACTGTTATCTATAGATAGCGTGTGTCACTCTATATAGCCAATATATGGCAATGGATCATAATGGCTGTCCTGGACACTGGATGGCAGTGAAGCCGTATACTTCTTGTAAAGGACCACAGCTGTAAAATGAAAAAAAAAATCGCTGCTGCATCGTTAAACTCAATACGCCGTGCACTGTGACAAGGAACGTCAGCCATAATGTCCAACGTCCCATTCAAAGGGGCCGTTCAAGGTTTTATGGGTCATGAAAAGATTTAGGCAACAAAAACCACTTTGGTAGCTACCATAGTTTTTTTTTTTAAGCAAATTTTCGAATATGCCTCACCAAGTGGCACTTAAACTGTTGTTGCTACAGTTTCTTACAAGGGTAGGATGTTTTTTGAGCGATATTATTGGGTTGCTGCTGGGCATAGTGGAATGACGCTTGACTCGAATATTAGTGAGAGCAATGTCTAGCGACCCGACGGGTTCGTTTGTCATGCTCAACGAGTCCTGGGGGATTCTTGAAAGAAGCGTGTCCCTCCGGTGCATCTCTCGAGAGCAGGTCTTGGGTTCTCATGTTCATGAGTGAAGTACCTTCTCTGCTGCCTTTCTGCCGATAACAACTTCTGCCAAAACAGTGCTCTGCAGTGCGGTGAGTAATGCGGTTGCTTTGCACGCGACTTCTGTTACGGCGCGTCTCTCAAACTTAACCATCTTCAATTTTTCCGTTCTATACTGCTCAGTCATCTTTTCTCTGGGTTTCTTTTCTGTGTGGCATGACGGAACAGGTTGCGGTTATTCTTTAACTTGAAGCACGATGGCATTTTGTATAGTTCGTACCTGCAATGTGCATTATTGTTAGAATTTCCCCTTTTTGTGTTGTTTGTGCTTGACATGATAAGACGCATGGCTTAGTTTTACGACTCGTGTCCCATATACATGTCGCTGCGATTAAAGCGAGGAATTACTTTTAGATTAGGTTCAACACGCTTTTGGTTTTCGTGGATAGATTGTGTATGAAGTGCAGAATACAGAACCTTTTCATTAAAAAAATATTACAAAGCGAAGATAACGACTCCGTGATGAGCGCATGGCAAGCGTTGCTATTGTCCATCTTCTCTTAAATTAATCAACCAATTCCTTCTTCACAAACAATTTTCGTCTTGCTTTGTCATTAAGCATTTGTCCCTAAGCATATCTTGCCCGTCAGCGCATAATGCTAAGCTCCATTGCCAATCGCGATTCCCTCGACGGCAGCACATCGGTTGCTCAATTCCCTATTGGAACGATCCGTATGCGATGTCCAATAATTCCGTATGTTTCCGTATGAATACATGTTCCCTATATATTTTCCATATATTTCCGTAAGATTCTTTCGGAAACATACGGAATTATTGGACATCGCATACGGATCGTTTCAATAGGGAAGATCTGCACATTTAACGTGACAGTGCTCGACATCGTGAACTGGATTCGCAAAAATGCATTGACAGTCACAGGCTGAGCCACTTCAACAACATTTACGCACAGTGTCTCTCTGTGTGTGTAGGTGTGTGAGGATAGGGGAAAAACGCAACAAATGGAGTCGTAATACAAACTACAGCAGCCGCGGTGCTGCCATTGCATTTCCTGCTGCACACCTCTTACCGCGCAAACACGGGGTCAACGGTCTCTCGTGCCAGCGAACCACAGGTGGCGCGACAGACGTGAATCCGCGTGTCAAGTTGCAGATGTTAAATAGGCCTAGCTGCGTTCAAAAAGCAACTCTCGTACAGTGCTCTTGTTTTTTTCATTTAAAACTCAGCAGGCTCAGAGTTCACATGATCCGCAACTGAAGCATCTGTGCTCCAATTCGCTGAAAGCTGACAAAGATATGTATAGGTGACATGGTCGATATTCAATTTTCCAGCTGTGAACGCGTCTGCAGTTCTGCTGATCGCTAAATTGGTTCTCGCGACGTTGTTACGTGACCGCGGTCGGATGAGTCGTCAACGAAAGACCACTCTTGTATCGATTTCTATAGGTGCACTTTAGAGCAACTCCGTTTCAGAGAACACCGATAGTTTCAAGGAAGCCCCATTCAAGAGATCCCAGAGATGCAAAATCGCGATTGTTTATCCTCTCTAAAAACGACGGTTTTATTACCAGACGTGCCGCACTCGGGCACACCGGAATAATTTCGTTGATCACACGAGATTTTCTAGAGTGCCCCTAAATCCGCATGAGAGCAAACAGCGCCAGATATGGGACGATCATAGAACGACAGACATCAGGGCCTGTCTGTCGTTCTATAGGATTATACCGCTGTTAGTTCCTGTCTTAATGAAGCACCAACCGGCGCCTTTATGTGAACTCGTGCTTTGAATCTACATATGCGATCCGTTTGGACGCAACTAAAATGGAGTTACGCATGCCACAACTAGCTGATTCACTGACGTCACCGATTCAAAGAGTGTTTTCAATGCTCCCTTTGCGGCCCCTAGAAAGGCGTAATGTTACACCCCCTGCAGCGCAGGTGTCGTCAAGCTGATCAGGCCACGGGACTGCGTGCACGGATTTCCGTGATCCAGCGACCTTTGTGCGCTCACGTCTCAATCGTTGTTGATGAGGGAAAAAGAAATGAAAAGGAAAAGATGGCGGCGGGGCATCGCTTTTCCGCTCCTCTCCGACTGCGGTCGTGCAGAGGACACGTACACACTGCGGTCGTCTCATGCGTCCGGTCGACAAATCCGATCGGATACGCGGAGAAGAAAAAAAAAGAAGAAAGAAACGTAGCACGAGCCACGTGAAACATCCGGTCGCGAATGTGCTCCGTGACACAAGTGACACAGTGTCGGCGTATTCGTGCTACATCCATCAAAACCCGTTGCGACAAGGCGACGCGTGTGGCGTGATCACGTGACTACGCGAAGGAAGTGGCCGATGAATGAAGACGGCGATGAATAGGATTCGGGTTGAATCGGGCGTTGGAGTAGTATCGCCTAAATTGGTAATTCATATACTGGGGAGTTTTTACATCTAAAAAAAATCGCAATGTTATTGTGAAAGACGCCGTACCGAAGGGCTTCGGAAATTTCGACCACCTGGAGTTTTTTAACGTGCACCCAAATCTATAGGTACACGGGCCTCTATCATTCTGCATTCATCGAAATTCGGCCGCCGTAGTCGTGTTTTGAGCGCACCTTCCAGAGTAAGGGCAAAATTTCGGTGATCCGCTAATACAGCGTCAATCAAACCGACCAGTTTACGATCTCTCACAGCGTACTCACTCACTCACTCCTTCACCTTTAGAGTCCCAGGACGACGAGCCCAGGAGAAGTAAGAGTGAACTTGTAACAAAAATTTGAGTTTGACAATTCAATCACGTCGATACCCAGACGAACCAATAGGCATGGGCAGGGCATAAACAAAGGCAAGATGGCGTCCTTTCATACAGACTAACAGACTGGATTCCAAGGCAAGGCAAAAACACGCGAAGGGCAGACAGAAAGTTCGATGAAATTAAGAAGCTTGCAGGTATAGAGTGGCTGCGGCAAGCACACGACCGTGCTAATTGGCGGAACACAGGAGATGCCTTTGACCTAGAGTGGGTGCTATTAGTGATATTGAAAAAAACCTGGCGCAACTTGGCATTGCCTTATTGACGCACACATTCACAGACGCATACACGCAAGAACACACCTCAAACGACGCTTTGGCGGGGTGCGTTCTTGCGTGTAAGCGTGCGTGAATGTGTGTGTGAGTGACGAAATGCCTGGTTGCGCCAAGTCTTCTTCAATATACGAGTTGCCGACTAGCCCAACAGCAAGCTCTAGTCAGTGATGACAATAAATGTTGCGCTAGAAATTCTCACTCATTCGAAGATGAATGCTCGCCATAACTGATTAATACGGTCTCCTCCAACGTTAAGTCTCCGCGGTGAACACTGAGGCTTGATTTCAGCTGTACGCCAACAATGATTTCAGTTTAATGAGCCATATCAAAGCGCATGGGAAGGTATAGAAACCGTGCACTATAGGTAGGTTTTCCTTCTATTTCTGGATGCGTTTTTTCGAAGGGTTCGCTTTCTCTGGCTTTCAGCTCCAGGACGCCGACGACTCGTACGGCATCCTCCGCGAATCCGGCTTCGACGACCGATTCAGGGTAAGTCCGCGTCTGTGTAGTCTACGACCGAGCGTGTTCCACGGACGTCCAGGTATTGTGACGCCGAGGTGATACGAAGTATAGTCGTCGCATCAGGTGATGGCTCTGGTTTCCTTTCTCTCTCTTTTCTTTCTGAAACGTTTGTGACAGCGACGACTATGACGATAACAGTATAGCGAGCGACGCTGTAATGTAATACACCGCGTTCAATATGTGCCGACGGACTGGTTGGCGATTTTCCACAGTAACCTTTTAGCGCTACAAAGCGGCACGGGAAAGATCACAGGACATTGCGATTACACTCAACTCAACCTCGCGTAGGGCTTGACTTCGACAAAAACTAAGCGACAATACTAGGAGAAAGGCACTAACTGCACACTGACAGGAGGGAGCTTGGTTACGTTGTACTGACGTGGTGAACGCACGCAATGAACAGAAGTCGTCCCAGCAGGCTTATCGCCGGTGGCGTGGCATTTTGGATCCTTCTTCGCTCGATTGTACTATGCTACTTGGCACATAGATACTACAGCATCGGTGTACTAGTATGTGTGACCTGCTCCAGATGCAGGTGAAGCTAATTCGTTGCAGCCTGACAGGCATACCGCGGCCCTTCGTGGCACTGGCAACGAGTGATTGTTGCTCAAGGTATGGACAATGAAGGAATAAATTCCGGAGCAAGCAAGTAAACTGTGTCTCAAGTGAATTAATCAGATGGCTCGAATGCACCATGCGTGCGGTGCTAATACACGCAATTTAACCGGGCGTGTTGTTTAGCTTGTCCATTACTTATCGCAAGTTCAAGCCGCACAACAAACTATCTACTGCGTACGATTAATGATGCTCTTATGACTGCTTTTCTTTGAGGCATACTGAACTGCTTCATCCACACTTAAAAAAATTGAATATTAATGCAGATGACACTGTGATGCGCTGAATACATCTGAGTGAAACAGTAAAATGATAGAATCAAATATCATGACACACAAACACGACAAACCACGACACATATCTTGCCTTCACGTGCAGTACTATTTGTAACCTTTCCAACTCCTATGTCTCTACTTCACAGGGGGTAGAAGCCGTTAATCGGCGTCTGGTTGACCTTCCTAACTTGCTATCTATCGATCTATCGATCTATCTATCTATCTATCGTATGCATTCTTAATTTCTCGATTTATTGTGTGGAGTCCCTTTACTCGTCCCACTCTCCTTTCTTTATACCAATCGACCCTCCGGTGAAATTTCCTCTTCGGGCTCCTTTGGCATCTTCCGGCAACGCAATGCTGCAATGCTGCTGTCTTCAATTAATTGTTGATGGGTACTTGATTGCATGCCAGAGATTTAGGGAACGAAAGAGAGGGAGTGAAAGCACCGGTGCAACACCCTTGTTCAACTTTGTTTTACCAAACCCCCCGTCCCAATCATTGTTAGAAGCCGTATCGCAAACCTAGTGGCGACCTAGGAGGAAACCGGCGCCAGCAGCAGGGGAGTCGTCCCTCGTCCAGGCCCCAAGGAAGTTCGCGACCCGGAGGCTCCTCTTCCGGTCCCCGAGACTCCCGACCAAACCCAGGCAGAGATTCCCCTCGAGGTGATGGTGGATCCTCGCGCCCACGTGACTTCCCGAAAAATGACGAAGGCCCGCGAGACTCTCCCCGAAACGATCGTGATCCCTCCCGGTTGTCCGGTGGCTCGCTTTCGCGTCCGCATGACAGAGACCGCGGTTCCTCCTCTTCCGAACATCGTCCTCAACACGATGACGACGACGACGACGACTTTCCCGCGATTCGACGGCGGGTTCTCGAGACCTCCTGATTTTCCACGAAATGGCGACAATCAGCAGGAGTCTTCCCGAAACGATCGTGGTCCATCCCAGTCCCGCGGCGACTCACCTTCGCGTCCCCAAGACCGAGACCGGGGTTCATCCTCCTCCGGGCGTCGTCCCCAGCACGGTGACTTCCCGCGAGGTGACGGCGGCTCCTCGCGTCCTCACGACATCCCGCGCGATGACGACGATGGGCGAGAATCTTCCCGAAACGATCGCGGTCCATCCCATTCCCCCGGTGGCTCGGCTTCACGTCCTCGGGATCGAGATCGTGGTTCATCCTCTTCCGGACGTCGTCCGCAACTCGAGGACGAGCACCCGCCTCGAGGTCAGGGCAGTCGTGACGAAGAAGGCTTCCGAGGTCGACCAGAGTACTCCCGAGGCCCCCATAACTCTAGTGATCCTCTCAGAGGAACTAATCGTCGCGAAGAATTCCCTCATCGCGAACGTGTGCCCAGTCCTGGGGACTTCGTAGTTTCCACTGGAAACCAGCAGGGGCCACGCGGCAACTCACCGACCCAAGGCTTTCAAGGACCCGAGCGCTTCCCCACTAATCAGGAGTCTCGTGACCCTCAGCGACGCTATCCCGAAGGCCCCCGGCGTAACCTAGGTCCCGACCAGCTGTCTGGCCCCGAGAAGTTGATCCCCGGACCCCAGCAAGTCTTCCCAATTCCTGAGCCACAACCGTTTCCGCGTGACCAAGGGTTTTCTGGAGGTTCCCAGCAGACCTCGCGTACTGGAGGGCTGTCCCGTCCCCAGGAGTTCCCCCGTGGCCAGGGGTTGCCAGACGGTAGGCTGACACTTCTTGCAAGCTTATATAAGTAGGCCCGTGCTACACAAAGTCCATAGATATTTCTCAGAACAAATCTTCCTAGTTCGCAAAAAATCTTGCTCCGGGACTAACGTCTATACAGGACTGCCTGCTAGCTTTTCGTTTGAGCTGACCGAGAGGCTAGCAAATCGAATCGCAAATGCGAATTGAACGAAAATTCGAAGGACATGGAACATCTGCTAGCCTCTTATGGTTAGCTCTGGTAGCTTTGAATCCGCCCAGTATAAGCGTTGGGTTCTGTTTCCGGACCATGACAAAATTTCCGTCACCTCGAATGCCTTCACTCTGGGAGTCCCATGTGACCTTCCTTTGTGGATTCGGCTAGCGCGGCCGTGGATTCGGCCTGCAACCCCTGTAAATACGCCTGAAGATATTGAAGGAATTATTCCACACTATAAGAAGGTACAGACGGAATCACAATTGTCTAGAGCGCCCAGCCGGCGGCTTCAGCTGCCGTTTTCAGCAGAAATATGCCAAGACTGACACCGTAATGAAACTATACATGCTAGTATACAACATGCTAGGTCCTTCTGCTATATTTCAAGCACGAAAAGAAGCTTCTAGCTATAACGTGAGGTAGCCTGCTGCAGAGAGCAACAAAACTCACAGCCGGGTGCTCCAAGTGTGATTCCGTCTGCGCAAACAAACGAAACACGGAAAGCTGGGAGGCACTGCACACCTGACAAGTACACGAAGTCTAACGGTTACCCATTGTCTCAATGAACAGCACTACTGTGAAAATCCATGGCATCTTCTTTTTTTGTGCGTTAGCTTAGGAATAAGTGGCCACAGTAACAAGAACCTTTGGTTTAGGGTTGTCTAGAAGAACGCCTCGCAGGAAACAGATGTACAACAGCTACTTGATAGTTTTCTTGTAAACGTACGGAAGTCGCATGTCGCACTTCGCTAGGCCTTTGTAGAACTGTAGAAATACTCATTTCGTAGACTCCCCGTCATAATCAGCACGTAAATGACAGGAAGAAAACGGGGAGAGATTGTAAAGGGAGTGAAACCAATGTGAGCGCACGCAGTAAAAGAAGAGCTTTCACTACGTACTTTATGTTGGCCTCAGTGTGGCATTGAAAGCCCCTATATTGATGTGCCTTCCTGTCGAATACCTTACTCCTGTCAAATTACTTCCTGTCGAATACCTTCGAATGCAAGCATTATTACATTCGGTTATTGGAGTTACTACGTGGTATGAAGACATACACATATAAACAAATATAGAAGACAAGAGGGCATAGGACAGCTGGCAACTTCCACCGGGGTGAGGCATGGCGTTTGTTCAATCTTTAAGGAGGATGGAATAGAAATTGAATGTAAAGACAGGACTGCAATACCCAAATGAGAGCAAACACGGAGAATTGTAAATTAGAAACAGAACAAATGTGTCTGACGGGAAACAAAAACACTATAAGAATGCTCGAATCTAATCCAACATTTAGTCTGGGAAAATAAAGCCGAACTCGTCACTGCAGGTTTATATACACAGCTTTGCACTGACGCCAAAGGCTGAGGGCGTCATATTTAATTGTAGACGTCGTGCTTATACCTACAATAATATTTAATTGTCGTTTTACATCTTATATAAAGACACAAGTTGAATTTCAGGAGCTGCTTGGCCAGTCAAAAGCCGTTTAGTGTTTCTTGAAGCAGCGTGCCAACTGATAATCTCGGGGGCTACGTTCCGTACAGTGTAAGTTCCACGGCCGCCCACCATGTGCCACCACATGCCTACGCCCCGCACTTTTGTGGAAGTCAAACCAGTAGTGACCAAATCAAAATTGAATGTGACATTTTATCATTATAATTCTTATTAGAACCGGTGAACTAAGGACTTTTAACAGGTACTTAAAAAACGCGGCTACCATAACATTTTTTTTTTCGGTTCCGTAACCACTTACGGTGTACTACTGCCCGCAAACACATAGCCTTTGAGATCGGCTAGTGTTGTGATGAGGGTGTGTTGGTATGGAATCTCCAGAAAATGTTGTAGCGCACAGAAACTAAGATACATGGAAGACGTATACACACACGGAGCTACACTTCGAACCATCTTTTTTCCAGGTTCCACGTGTTATAGTTCCACTAGCATACGACAGTGGTTTAATAATTAGCACGACATAGAGATATGCGTGTCTAAGTACTTCTGTGTAAACAGGAGGTTGCCCGAAAGGAAAAACTATTAGGGCATTCCAGTCAGTATTTCGTATCAGTATACTGGAAGACAAGCAAGTCAGCCTTTGAAGGTGAAGGCGAGGATAGGCAATTATTAACCCATGTTGAGCTCAAGAGGGGCAGGCGACTACTTTCGTGGAAGAATGGGAAAAGTAAGTGGCAGCGCATAGCGCGACCACATTGAAGCTAAAAATATCGTCTCGACGCGGGATATCTAATTCAAAGCACACTCCCACTGCATGATAAATTACGATGGCCCCTACAACTATGATCGACTGGTACTCAGAGGTCACGTGTTGTAACTATTACTGCCGGGTAAATAACGAAGGTGATGGTTTCGTGGAGACCTCTAGAGGTGAAAATGTTGCAACTGGTTTCAGCTAACACCAAACTGTTTCCAGCAGGCCAACAGATCCCATCAATGGAAGCAGCTGGTTCCAGTTTCATGCCAACTTGAAACCTATTGGTGCTATGACTGATTGCTCTGTTCTGTTATTATATCGCATTAGATGTAAATGGACTCACTAATGAATCAACTTGGAAACAACTCGTGCCATATCCAATTGTGCTAAAGGTATCTGGACTCATTCGAGATGTAACAGAGAACCAACTTGTACCATGGACAGTTGTAAAGGAAGTATAAATACACTTGGAATCCTACTTGACCTCAACCCGTTAAAAGGTGTTTTAATAGAAGTGATCAGCACAGGAAAGCGTTCTTGTGGTATCTGAACTTTACTCTTATGGCATGTGATGACAGACTGTGGCACCCAAGTACGCGTTGAGCATGGAAGGTTACATGTGCGTACGCCTTTGTGTTTGTGTGTGTTTGCTTGTTTACCCGATGGCCACAGGAATTGGCCTCGGTGGAGTCTCTGGTCCAGGGCGTGGGTGAGGTGGTCCGTCGCTGCAACTACGTGCGCTCCTTCGTTGACTGGCCGAGGCACAGCCGCGTGTGCGCGCCTATCTGGAACGCCTTCCAGGACCTACCACACCTAACGACGCCACCGTCCTTGTACGAGAACCCGGCTACTGGATACTTCCAGCTGATTGCATTCGGGAACAAAAAGAGGAAGTGAACTCCGCTCACCAAATGTCGACCGTCGTCCCGACGTCAAAGACCACACCCTCATGCAAAACGTTTAGCTTAGTTTCATTTTTCTACGGTGTTCTTATTTTTTACTTGTACTTTTATGACCATGTGCAGTACGGTTCAAGGGGATCCTTTACGCTGAGACATGGTACGGAAGCCCAAGGGCTGTAGCTTTGCGATGTGTATAAGAGCACTCTTGCCTACACCACGGCATGCAAGACGCTATAAGCGATGTTTTGCAGACGTACAACATTCACTTAGACGCTAGGTGGTCCCCTAAAGATGTGACCGTTTACACAGCAGTGTAATTGCATTTTATCAAGCCTTTCCCTACGATTCCTCGTGCCATGTTACGCACGCTAACGTATACTGTCGATTCCGATCTAATCGCATGTGCACTGTGCCAACATTGGCGAATTCTGAGGCTCAAGCTCGTTAGCCGCTGCTCGCAAACAGGTGTGAATCTTATCATCGCCATAGGTTTCGCGTATGGCAAACTTTTGCTGTAGTGTTTCGTGTGCCTGCTGGGGAAGCATTATCTTACGAGATTGTCTCTCTTGTCATTATGTGCTCAAGTGCCAATGTTACTGATGTGAAGGAGAACAGGAAAAGAAATATCAGAAGCAAATGCGTGGTTTGTAGTTTATGTACTGATTCAAAGAGACGGACGGCGTTTCGTTTGCAAAGTAAACGCTTTCGGAAGCTTCTTTTTTTTTCTTTTTTATTAAAAAGAAGTTGTGGTATAGAAAATGTGCCGAGCGGACGGAAAGCGGAGGGACTCACGATGTTTGCAGCGAATCTCCTAACAAATTGCTTGCATATACAAATCGTTGCTTTGACAGACCTTGTTATGTGTTCCCATGTGAAGCTATAAATTTAGTATTTAACTGTGCCTTTTGTTGCCCAAAAGAAGTGGGACCAGAAGAAGGCATAGTGGATACTTCGTGTGGTTGACTTTCTGAACTGTTCAATTCCTTGTACGCGCTTCTTAATGAGTGAATGCTAACGCCTCTCATCTGTCGAAAAAAAATTAGCATAGAGCGTTCTCCTGATTAAACACCTTCTTCTTCTTCTTCTTCTTCTTCTTAAACTAATGCGCCAACGAGAAATTGGACGTGAAGCCATAATTGGTTCTTCTTTGGTTAGGCTAACTGCTTCAAGGTGGTCAGTCGACTCTTGCTGCACAGAAGCACCTGATGAAAGTGCACACAACAAGTGATGACTATTCATATTTAGTTCCTTTCTTTCTCTCTTTTCTTTTTGTGTGCATATCCTCAAGTATGCAGCAGTGAGGTAATTAATCCGAAGAGAGTGCTGACCCTCCAACAACATTCATGTGTGCTAGTACTTATGCTGCAATTCCATTTTTCCGTACTCTTCGTTCTGCTGATTGTCAGTACGCAGTAAAAGCGTTACTTAGACGTCATCAGGTTTTCCAGAAATGAGAAGAGCAAAAACCTCGGGGGTAATGTCAGAACACTATACAATACTCTACAATGTACTTTAAGAGGGTGCTATATTATTTTTTTCATATTTTGCTCTCTGTAACGCCGTGCCTTAGAAGTTCTTGTGTGAATGCTTGTCTTGTGTTATACTACATGTGTACTAAGGCTTATTCAACGAAAATTTGTACTTATGAGATGAGATTGTTGCAGCATTAATGGTCACACGAACATGGTGTTCTAAACTCCTGCAGTTACCTGACATTTCTGCAAATGCTCAATTTTATTGATTTTGACAATAACGAATCTCACTTTGTACATTTTGCTTACTATTTTTTTCAGTTTTGTACCAGTTCTCTTTTTTTTTTTTTGCATGCCGCAAATACTTATGCACTGACTTGACAAAAAGCGAGTCGCCTTTTTTCATTGTCAAATTGTTCAATGCTCGTGATAACATTGATAAACATCGATAAGTACTTATAAATCATGTTAACAGCCGCACTTGACCAAACAGCCCTACGTTGTCGGAAGAACAGAAAGGTGTACGGTAACGAACGAATACAGTACGCAAGCTTTCCTACAAACACAAACTGCGCTGACGCAAATGTGTACAATCCTATATACCGTCAACTCAGTCACGCTTGCCGTAATTTGGCGGGACTATGACGTTTAAATTACGCAGTCAGGAATGTAAGTGCCATTTCCAGTACGTTGCAATGAATAAATTGCCGACATATCTTCATTACCTTAAACTGCGCGCAATTAATTGGAGAAAATTCTCATTAGAAAAAGGCTACACAATTCCATCTCGTAGCGCCGACTCTGACGAAGGTCATCAACCCCTTCAGTTTCTTGTTCGACAAAGTCAAGGGATGTACGCGCCTTAACATATGCGGGCCCACGGCGCGAGATGGCGCGGCATCCCCACCCAATTTAATACATAGTCTTTACAATGCGTTCTGTTCGTAAGAACCACAGTATAGTAGGAGGTAGAAAAGGCTGGAGGGAGAGGGGGGCGCTGCGGTAGCACTTTGCTGCCCCCACTCCTTATATCTAGGAACGAGGCTATTTCACTCCAACGTCAGTAAGGCCGGTTAAATTCCAATCCTTAATACTTGGACATCCATTCTAGCTAAATTCGTACACATATGTGAAGAGGACTATTTCTGAGACAATCACCCCGTAACCCTTGTCACACATATTACTTCAATCCAAGGCTAACAAATTCGTGGAGGTTGAAGTCGTATTGGATCGGCGTCAATCGTTATAAAGTCGCCGAAGGGCATTCCATAAGAAGACATTATGCTGTAAGTACGTTCCTGTGATATTCCCCGGCGTTACGGGTGTACATGAAGGCCACAAAGCGCACAGTCCTGTCATAAATATTCAAGATTAGTGGTTTCAACTATAGTTTTTCTTGGTTGTGCTCTCATAGTCCGTTGTCCCTACTAACTTTTCTAGGGGGGAGGGGGAAGCTTTGCTTTTATATTCGACCTGACGTTGAAATTACGAACAGAAATTTTATATATCTTTCACTAATATCCAAGACATCAGTTGATATTTATAAAGTCCCAACTAAAGCAGTTTGCTGTCAGCCATTTATTTACGTTCCTCCGAACTTCCTACTGCCTTCTTCTTCCACTCGCCCCCACTTTGCCGCCTCCTCCAGCTAGTTCCCTTGGATCCCTACATCTTCCCAGGCTCCCGTTTCCATCTATCCATAGATGGTGTGGAAGTACGTTTGAGAGAGACGCCTCTTCGGACCTTGCCCCGAGGTCCCTCAGCAATATACGATCTTCAGTATACCTTGTTGCTTCGTGATCTTCGCGACGAAGTAAGACTAGCAAATGAAGACTTCAAGTCGAGTCCTTTGCGCCCAAGAGCCGTGCTTCCAGTCTAGCACATCGGGGATCTCTGATCGATGACGTTCATCAAAGTTCCTTTTCATTGTTTGGCGATATCGTTCTTTCCGCTCTTCCGCCATAGGTTGTTCCTTGAGGATAATCTTGACCACAAAACCAGGCTCTACCATTTCCTGAACATGCTGACAAAGCTGTCCTTCCATGGCTCCCCATGCATCGTGTTTTATATGTTTAGCAAAACGCAAGTCAAACCATTGTTTGACATCACCAGAAATACATGTCCGCATATTTCGTATGTTCTCGCAATCTTTGTACCAACGATTCTGTTCACATACACACTCGAATGCCTAATTCAGACAGCAATCCACACTTGAACTGCCGTCAAAGGCGCCTGGGTTTACCGTTATGTGATTGGTTCTGTCTGATGCCAGCATCGTCAAGAGAGCTTGTTGCTGCTGTAGTTGTTGCTTTTGCAATATAATCAACTGAAAAAGCGCGCTCGACCATGGAGCTTGTCGTACCAGCGATTGCACCGGAGTGGCTTGACAATTGCTTTTCATTGAAGTTTGGCTTTTTGCAGGTTTCGAAATCCGAGAGAGGTATATTAATCTTCACCATACCTCTGGCGATGACGTCGCTGATTGGCTCTCTGGAGCTGGTAGCGATGGAATCGATTCGGATCGGTGTTGTCATCTCTTCCGGCCCCGCAACGAAGCTCTCGCTGTCCAGTTCGTAGCCTGCAATCAGCAGACGACCGTCCCGCTCTATGAGCTAGAAAGTTACCCACATCTTCCGGATCCTGTCGACTGCGCCAAATATAATGTTCCAACTAAAGCACTTTGCTATCATCCATTTATTTACGTTCCTCTTATCTTTTTCTGCCTCTTCTTCCACTCGCCTCCACTTTGCCGCCTTCTCCAGCCAGTTTCCTTGGATAACTACTATATTAATTGCAGTGCTAGAGCTATGAAGTGCGTTCGTGTGCGCTTGATCAAGCTGTACATGACGTAGTATATCGTGCACACCTGAGTAAAAGCCAGCGTAGTCACCTTTACAGCAGACCTCTGTCAAAATCTTGTATTTCGTTACGTCAGCTATAGCTACACTGTTCAGTTTCACTAAAGTACTTAACGTAATTTCCTTTTTGAAAGAATTATTTGCCAATAAATACTCACTCCAAGAGGTGTTCGGGTTTATAGGCTTTGGAATTAATGGCTGCTGCGATACATGATTGCCAGCTGAACAGTCCCTATTTTATGTTTGCCTGGTATGAAATTGACGAGCCCCTTGCTCTCAAAGGACACCGCGTGAACTGTTTCAAATGCTATTATGGAGCACAGAACTACTGCAAGTCAACCGTTACAAGATGATCTCGCTGAAATCTGTAATGTGAGCGAACCCTCATTATTGAGAACTTATTCAGTGCACTGAAAGAAGCTGCGAAATCGCGAAATTTCATCACGACAGGAATCTAGGGTGCCACAAAAGAAGCGCTTCGTATGAGTAGGAATAAACAACTATGTTATACCAACTTTCGAAGATAAAAAGCGTAAGTGCGCTAGCGTGGTTTAAAATATAGTTTCCGGCAACTATTGTACGCTTGTGTTCTATGTGAACTTTATACTTTTTGTTACAAGGTAATTGAAACAGCGTGTACGAAATGCTTTGTGTTGTTGCGCGTCACGTTGCAAGTGCCATATTTTCCTCCACTGCAAGCATGACACTACATAAACCGCCAAATATCCTGCCACGCGTGCCTGCTGTGAACAGTCTTCGCCATATAAGTGCCATATAATTGTGTCATGCTTCGTCTGAACTGTACTACACGTGTAGTGTGCAATGAAAATATCTTGTGAAAGCAAATAAACTTTTCTATGCGTGCTCTCATTGTTTTCCGTCATTGTATGAGCTGCTTTTTTTGTTTATCTCGTTGAAGAGGATAAATGCACCGGATTGCACCACGCCATCGTAAGTTCCGTAGAGCGTATTAAGGAAGACATATTAGGTAAAATATGAGTTGCTTCAGTAAACGAGGTGAGAATAAAGGAAAATAACTTTATTTGGTCCTGTGGAACGTGACTGGGTCACGCACCCAGTTGAGGTGAGGAGGGAAATCTTTCCGAGTACATGGAATTGTTCTAATGCTTCCAGCTGGGCGAGTCGACTCATCTATTAAGTCTAAAGTTATGACATATGCCAGCCTCACACATACAAAGTGCAGGGTGCGGCTGACTTGCAAAAGTCACCACGTTTAAAATGAAGGCTATAGGCATTCCACTGAAATATTGCGACATTTTAGTAACGGCTATTCATATCCGACATCCGACAGCACTGACGTAGTAAGATGACCCATTAGTGACTCCATATAGATTACAGCGTTTTTACCTCTCTAATCTTCTTCGCCTGTGGCAGAGCAGCGATGTTTGCTCAAACAGCATGCATGGGCAATGTCATCTGTGTCGCATTCAGAAACGCAGCGCTGTTCTGAAACCTCGACGTTCCCGATTTTGCGGTTTTTCGGGTCACTGACGTTTCTCTCTGTGGTGTTCTCTGGGAGGTATTCCGATGAGATCGTTGAGGTCGTCAGTTTACTCGCCTACACTGCTGCGTAGTCTCACCTTCAATTGGCGAAGCAGACGAACGGCTTCGTGATGCTCATGGTTGCTTTAAGCTCACCAATATTCTGCGAAGCTTCGTTTAAAAAAAAATCCAGGAACTAAACAAAACTTCTGCATTACAGTCACTAGAACTAAATTTTTCAACAGTAGCCAGCTTCATCTAAATCGGTTGAACAGTTCCCTCACCCATCTGAGTTTTACATACACTTAAACACGTCGCTGTCGTTTTTCAGCTTGAGTTTTAATTTAAAAGTATACTTTAACGCACGCCCCGCCGCGGTGGTCTAGTGGCTAAGGTACTCGGCTGCTGACCCGCAGGGCGCGGGTTCGAATCCCGGCTGCGGCGGCTGCATTTCCGATGGAGGCGGAAATGTTGTAGGCCCGTGTGCTCAGATTTGGGTGCACGTTAAAGAACCCCAGGTGGTCTAAATTTCCGGAGCCCTCCACTACGGCGTCTCTCATAATCATATAGTGGTTTTGGGACGTTAAACCCCACAAATCAATACTTTAACGCACAAACTAAAGTCTGGGCTGAGCTAAAGTTGCCTTGTATGTCTTTACATTGCGGTGTTTGACAACGTAGAACACAGAGATAAAAAATAAACAAAGCTAAAAGCTCTTTTATTTGTACATCTGATCATTGCAATGCTCAACAAATGCCTCCAGCTGAGACAAGTATACTATCGATTGCAGCACACGCATGAATAAAAATAACGACAACATAACAACAGTTGAACAGGGCATAACTCCAAATGAAGCTTTGTAGGCATCCCCAAAAAATACATAACACAAATATAACATCTTCGTTGTTTAAAAAAAGAAACGTGCAAGAGCAAGCAGGTAACTGTATGTGTAAGAAGCCTCGCCTTCATCACACAGGGATTTAGTGGAATGTGCCAAGCAAGTAACGTTTGAGCGATAGCAAGGGTATATAGTTTTCAAAACATGCGCAATGCCTAACCAAACCCCGCCTACGCGTTTTGTGGAGTATAACTCGGTCGGGCAGTGTAAATGTACGAAATAGAACACACACACACACACACACATATCTATATTTATTTATCTTCTACCATATTTGCAACAAGTCACTCTGTAAACAAATGCGTTGTGCACTCTTAAACTCGATATAAAGCTGCAGAATATATATGTTCGCAAAAAAATCAAGACATGGAATGTTTCCCTAAAGCGCTTGTTTTAGGGCACGTTTGTTCAAACGCTGAAAAAGTATGTACCCCGACTGCCCCCGCTTTCACTGAACATTAATGTCCCCGACCCATCTACTACGTGCAGTTAGCGCGTGTGATTCAGCACGCGCTGATTAGTCGGAGCTGAGAGGTCGGCAAACCAGTCAGTCAGCGTCCCCTGAAACAGACAGTGCGCCTAGTCTCGCTGTAGCGCGACAAAGGTGACGAACGCCAGGACACATGGACGCCCACCAGTGTGCCGAGCTACAATGGAACATGAGAAATGGCCCGCTGCAAGCAACCCCGCGGACATCCTTATTGGGTACACATATATTGTGCAGAGAATAGAACCCCAGCATCTCCAATGCCTTGGTGTGGCTCAGAGTCGTGAAGAGCAGCCGGCAGTGTATAGATCATGTGCAGATGACAGCAAGCCCCTGATTACGCCCCCGCTTCGTTTGCTTTTAGTCTCGTTTCTCCGTGTTGTACAAACGTTTACCGGGTTAACTAATAGCATCTTCATTTAATCGCACCGGGGACACCGTTTCGGCCAATCAACGCAGCGACTAAGGCGTCCCGGTGAGCACCGCGTGCGATATTTAGGGCGAACATGTCACAAGAACACCCTAAGGGTAGATCACAGCTTCGAAGACGAATTATCATCATCAGAGTCGACGCCTGCGCCGTTGAGAGTTTCGAAGCATTCGTCGCCAGCTGAAGCAGCAGCAGCGTCGTCCTACGACTTCGTCTTCCTCCTCCTCGTCGTCCAAGGGCAGGCCCAGGGTACCAACCACGGCGAGGTCGACGGTGCTCGTGTACCACAGGTCAGCACGGCGGGTGTCGTACACCAGCGCGCTCTTGTAGACGGTGTGCGGGGGCAGCGGCGGGAAGCAAAACACCGACTCGCCCTGGCTCACAGCCACGGTGCGCGGTACGACGAGCAGGTGCTCGCGGTACGCCGTCGGCTCCATGGTGGTCGTGTCCAGCACGAGCGTGACGCCGTACTCGGCCTCCACGTGGCGCGGCCGAAGCTCGACGCTAGTTCGAAACTGCGGCGGGTCGCGGCCGTCCAGCACCAGGCGCGACTTGACGCTCCGCTCCAGAGAAGGGCCGCAACGGTCGATGGTGCGAACGTCGTCGCTGAAGTTGAGCGCCACCTGCGGGTTGTGGTGGTGCGCTTCAACAACTCGATTCCGATAACGTTTATTAAGTGTGAATACACTTTATAAGCGACCCCAAACCATCCACCGCCGTCGGCGGCGCCCGCAGTCTTCTCTCTATCTTTAAAAGAAAGAGGACTTGGCGGGCCGCAGCGCGACGCTCTCCTCGCTCGCTGCAGCTGCGCGCGCACCCCTCTCTCTCGCGCGCCCGCCTTCTCTCTCAGTCTCCCGTCGAGAGTGGGTCGTGCGATGGATGTCCCGGAGGCAACGCTACCATCTGGATATAAGGCGCGTTACTGACACCGATATATATATATATATATATATATATATATATATATATATATATATATATATATATATATATATATATATATATATATATATATATATATAGAGAGAGAGAGAGAGAGAGAGAGAGAGAGAGAGAGAGAGAGAGAGACGCCGCCGACGGCGGTAGATGGTTTGGGGTCGCTTATAAAGTGTATTCACAGTTTATATATATATATATATATATATATATATATATATATATATATATATATATATATATAGTGGTTTTTTTAAGGCGGAAGGAGAGGCACATTAAAGACAAAAAGTGACCGTCGGCAGTCAACGCGAGTGATGCAAAAAAAAAGTGACATTGCGGTGACTTCAACCTATACGTCATTGTGTCGTCGTAAGTTCGCGAAATGTGACGCCATAACGTCATTCTAGAGACGTCACACAACGTGTCGTCACATGGTGACGTCATCACACAACATCGTCGCTTTGCGTTAGGCGGGCCGATCCCGGAGGCACGTGAAGTACAGAAAGCTTGCAGTGTCTCTGATTTCGGAAGCGAAAACGCGCTTATTTTATTTATTTTATTTATTACATACTGCAGTCCGTAGACCAAGCAGCAGGAAGCAGTCCGTAGACCAAGCAGGAGTTGCAGAAAGCTCTGTAGGGAGCGGGGCGATCAATGCAGTCAAATGAGAAAAACAAAAGGCGATGGCTTTTGCTTGAACAAAGCCAGCAAAAGCACGGGACACGAGAAAGAGGCAGGCGCAAACACCGCTGGAACTAACAACTGTGACTTAATTGAACGGAAGCATTTAGCCAGAAAACCTCAGAAGGCACGTGCAGCACGTCAGTATCGCCTACCAGGTCACCCTGGTTATGATAGAGCACACTATCAGATTTCTTACTGACCTATCAATAAAGTCACAGTTGTCAGTTCCAGCGGTCTTTGCGTCTGCCCATTGTCCGCACCCCACGTTTTTCCTGGCTTTCTTCTGGTATCATGGACCAACTGGCGCAGATATCAACTTATCTGAACGATAGCTTTTGGCTTCGATTTCATTTTAGGCAAATGCATAAGGGACCCCATGGGACATTCATTTATCCACAAGATTACGGAGGCCACTTACGGGTGGGACTGAGATAGGGAGTTTAGGTGGGACGGCAAGAGTGGATGCAGTGCAAAGAAGCGTGTTGATGAGAAAATTAATTACGCGATGAAAGTTATATATACGGCGCAGTGAGTATCTAATATGCTTTCTGACCACTGCCACTGAGCGTCGGCCTCCCGCATTAAAAGCCGATGCTCTACCACATCAGCACTAGTTGGGTTAAGATTAAAGCCGCAGTGGAGGGCCCCCGATAGATACCACCGGCGACTTCTGAATGTTGTTAACTCCTATGCGTAGCTACAAACTTACAATTACAATAGCATGGTTCTCGTTGGCAGTGCTTAAGCAGTTGGATACCTGAAACACTCCTGTTAGCGCTTGCCCTCGCGATTCTGGCGTGACGTGTTTTTTGAAAAACAAATACAACGAACTGTATTTATTTTCGCAATTTCAAGGACAGCGAACACGAGGTACTACGCCTCAACTAATATCTTTTCGAAGTAAGCCCCGCTGCACCAAGAAAAGCTTTATCCAACCATTCAACCTTCCTTTTTCTTTTTATAAGTTGGCTTCACCGCACGCACTTGACACAGTGTGGGCGAGCAGCCTTGTGCGGAAATGTCTTAGGTCAATGACGTAGTTGTTTTTTTTTTGTTTTGTTTTTAGTAGGGTGTTACAGATGATGCATGCGGCACTTAGGCAATAGCGAATAGGCCATCAGACACAACATGCACGTCCGCACAGCTCCCATTGAATCACGGATGGAGCTAGGGAACAAGTACACGAAGCATTGGCATCAGTGTTTCGCCACAATAGAGCGACGTTTTGCAGGGAAAAAAAAAGAAGAAAAGGCAGTGCAAACGGGCACATGTCTAGGAATAGCGAGCTCTGACCGGAGAACTTATACACTTGCACCACCCTTCCCCACACCACATCAATATTACGAATAAAACCCCGTAGGAGATGACAGGCCACAGCGTGCACAATTAACGTGTTAGTCCCCGTGGAAAGGCCCCCCTCACCATTTTTCTCACGTATTTCTCAGAAAGAAACTTTCTTATTCGACAAAAATCTCATACGGCTGCGCAATTTTTTTATCGGTGATTGTTCTTCCCTTACATGAATTTTTATCCACATTGCGGTCTTCCGCAAAACCCGTGTTTTTCTTACAACTCCCAAGACGCTTCACTGTGCAACACACGTGCTTCACCGCAATACAATTCGCGTGTTTCGTCGCATAGCACAACGACAACGCGTAGAAGCTGTCTCTCAAAAAGCGATTGTTGTGCAACATGCGTTGAAGTTAACTCTTCGCAACGGCTGCTAGAGCACACACATTTTTTCAAGCGACATAACTCCTTGAGCTGACATAGCGCGAGCTTAGTAAAAGCAAATACACGCGATAGCCCTTATTTTTAACATATTTATTTTCTGCGTTTTTTAAAATGTGCAAGACACGCGATTGTTAATTGACTCGAGCGTGTTATGAAGCATTGAATAATACAGTAGCAACTTGTCAAGCTACCAGCTTAACCATCTTAATTTAAACCAAAACACGCACAACAACGCACACGATCATGCTACTTGAATTTTAGCGCCATGCGCAGTGGAAGTTTCTACACGAAAACATTGCGCAACACAGGGGCCCCGGAAAGAAAGAAAAAAAAACTTAATCTGACAGCATTGTCACGAGTACACACACACCGCATTTACCTATGTGTTTAACGCATTGACTCATTACCGCAAATCATTACAGCATGATGGACAGGTGCCGATACGCAACGCCCATTTGCAAAGACACGAGGCCTTCAGAAATGGGCGCGGCAGGCAGCCTCCGCTCAACGGGACCACCTGTTGATTCAGCCTTTTAGGAAAAAAAACATTGCTCAAGCAATTCTTTCGAAAAACGTGCACTCAGCCTTACCACACTCATATGAGTAGCCATGTTTTCGCCCATTCTTGAGTGCAAGCAGCTAATTCACGAGCCAACTGCTCTGACGAAGCTGGATAATCGACGACATGCAAGAACGGAAACAGCAGACGGAAATACGTCACGTGATGGTCGTTTATACAGCGTTGACAGGCGCCGCTCGGTCGTACCACCCATAACTGACAAACACGGAGCCGGTTTCACAAAAATGGCACTTAAAATAATAAAAAAATGTTTCTTTGTTCACATTTTCTTTGCCTGCACTCTCGCGGAGCATCACTGAGCGTAAACAATTGATACATTAACTCGTACTCGATATCGAAACCAAAAATGATTGTCTTTAGGCATGTCTTGTGTTTAACGCACACAAAATACTTCCGCGCACGCTGCCGGAACCTGCCGCTTGACTATTTACTGAAAAAAACCACATGGCTCTGCGAAGAAACTAACAGCTATCAACGGGGGGTTCATTTTTAGCGAAGCAACGAAGAAACAAGTGCGCGACGAGCGTTGATGACGCGCGCGCGGCGCGACACTGCGGAAAATACCACTCATGCAAGTGCCACCTCTTCATTTGCGCTTAATGTGTTTCCCCTTTTTGCCGCGACGTATTAAGCATGCACTATATTCGATACAATGTAGCGCTCTAAATAGTAACACTTTCTACAAGTTGACTGCGGTTTGGTTTACCTGTAGCGCCACAGGATAGCCTTCATGCATGTAACGGGAAGTTTTTGAACTACAACTGGCGCTGAGGTGCTTGTAGTCTTGTTGTTGGCACAAGTGGCTGATTCACGAGTTGTTTTGCGGTTCGGTTCCGCTCCGCTATGCGCGTGTTTCGCTCTTGGGTTTCAGAAGCGTCTCCTCGCAATCATCACAAACAACATACGACGGACACAATGGCGGTGAACTGGTGCAGCCTGCGCCTCGGCGGCGGTTCGTTTCACCGGCGGAAGCGGCCGACCGGGCGGCAGGTAGGACTACACGCGCAGGGAGCATGCCGCTAGCAGCATGGCAAGCTCACCGAGCGGCGCCGACGATCGGCCCCACTGGTCGGACTTCTGCGAGAAGCACGCCCGAGTGGCCGCCGCTGAATTCGCCCACAACTACCAGCTTTTCGTGGCCGATCACCAAGAGCTGGCCCGATCGGCGGAGTTTCCCGCATTCGGGCGCCGTTTTGCCGAAGTGTTCCAAGAGCACTTCGAGGCTGAGGTGCGAAGACGCATCGACGAAGGAGCGAGGCCGCTGAGCACAGCCAGCAACGGCGGCGGCTCGCAGGAGCCGCTGGGTGCAGCCGCGGCGCCCAGGGCTGTGGCCAAGACGCCGAGCAGCGCGACGTCTTCGCAAGACAACCTGCGCTCGCTCGCCACCGTCAACCACGAGGACTACAGCGATCTCTCCGAAGGAGAAGCGTCGCCCAAGGCGCACCATCGGCTTTTCTTTCGGCGTCTTTCGTTCAAGGGCTTGAAGCGTGGCAAGGGCCTTTTCCACAAGCAGCACTCGGACGAGCTCGAGTTATCGTCGCACGCGCCGCCCCACCACCACCATCACGGAGAGCGACGCAGTAAAGGCGACAAACATCATCACCACGACAAGGCCAAGCTGAGCAAGATTATCGTCGAGCACGTCAAGGAAGGGCTCGTCAACTACGTGAGCGGCGAAAACATAGACGGCCGTCAGAAGTGGGAGAAGTGCCGGTTGGTGCTCGTCAAAACTGTCGGTGGATACCTGCTCGAATTCTACGCACCGCCCAAGGTGAGCGGCCTGTGAGAGCGCGATTGCCTTCGCGTCAGTTGTTAACCAAGCGGTGGCGGGACGCCGCAGGAAAAAAACGCAAAATTATAAAAAAAAAAAACAGATCACCGTGGAGACATGGAGATCGCACCGGACGTGCTGTGATCGAGTGTCGGATGCTTTGACTGTCGGCGCGAGTGAAACGAAAGTTCCAATGCGCACGTGTGGTGTCGCATTGGGTTGTTTACCGTTTCCTTTCTTTCTTTTATATCTCGTGTTTTCGTCTGTCTCTGGCAATGAGCTGAAACAGTAGAGTTCCAAATGAGCGCGTCAGGGTCGGCACGTTATCTCTTGGACCAAGTCGTCTGCGTTTTGCGTGCCGGCGGCCACTGTTGACCGACCCGATGGTGCGAGCGTCACTCGTTATTCGCGGCCTGGCTTGTCCGGCCAGATAAATATGTGAAACAACCCTGCTGTAGCGACACCACACTAGGTCGAAGCTGTCAGATCCGGAACGAAGTTGTGCGTCGTCGTGAAGAAACTACGTATCGGAGCGTATCTTTTGCGCACACGTTATTAAAATACTTCCTCGCGATCTTGAACGGCGCAAGCTACAAGGGATGGTTGAAAAGAACACGGTACAGGCGCCGAGTCGCGATCCGGTTAACCAGCTCAGTTTGATCGCTGTTTGCTTCCTCTCCGCGTATGGCAAAAGCATTTCGATATAAAGATCGGCGATAATGCACTAGGAGTAACAAGACGCCTAAATTGTCTCTAACCGACTACGAGAAACTAAAAAAAGAACACGCTAATAACAAATTCCAGCTTGCAAAAGTGTGCATCTGCGTTGTGGCGTGGTTAACTGATGAGTCATCAGTGTGACTATATCAGTCATCTAACAGCTGCCAAACTTCACATAACTTGGCAGATGCACACCACAAAATTTTCATACCAAGGTTTATGAAACGCTGAAAACGAACGTTTTCTTTTCTTTTTTTTTTTTTTGCCGGTTAACTCAAAAGACACTAATTTGGGGACACTGATTTGCGAAAGTAGTACGAGCTGTGCTTCCTGCTTTTCGCTTTGCTACAGTCCCTAAGGCCACGGAGCGGTGTGTTTTGCTACCTGATCCACGACGCCAGGGAGACGACTGCTCTCGAGATGCCGGACCACGAGAACACCTTTGTGCTCAAGGTGTGTTGCAGAGCGATTGCGTCCTAGCCCTCTTATAATTGTAGCTGCATTTTAATCATTTACTAAAGGCAACAACAATCTGTGCAACTACCCTCTCGATGCTCTTGCAGAGAGCACATTGCAAATATCACTGCTTGTAGGTTAGATCAGACATATGTATCTGCAAATATGAAATCATTTGCTGTTTAAAGGTTGTATAATTGTGTTTCAGGCTGTCGCCTTTCAAGAAAAGCAGCATGTTTTATCCAGGACCATTCTTGCTACAGTTAGCGAAAAGTTGTTCGTTAAATGTATTTAAACTGCCAGTAAGATGTCAGTAAGTGTAGGATGTAACACCTACATATTAAGCCATCACACAGACACTAGTTTCATCGGTTTTATTATAACATGATGAATCGTTTTACTGTGTCTGTGTGTCTCAGATTCTGGTTTTATCGCTAAGCATAGCGCTTATTCACCCCAATAATGTATCTTTCATGTTCGGAACACACCTGGCAACAATAAGTGCTGATTTAGAAATCGGTTATGTCTATGGGTGTCAGAAGATTACACAGAGAATTCTGTGGCTACTAAAAAAATTTCGTGGTACACACAAATATTCAGTATACCTATGAAACAGGCTTGTAACATTTTGGAAGTAATATACACGGAGGGATATGTGCCCTTGAAGTAGCCACTGGCCTGATATAAAACTTCCTTAGTATTCTGTGAAGAGCACAGTTGACCTTTGGAGCATGTATATTGCTCTCCCATATGCACTTACAGGCAACATTTAGCAAATGTGGATGCAGCATTGTGTCATTAAAGTGCCTAAAAAGACGCATACATGTTGTATCACTGGTAGTCGGAAGAATCGGCGTGACATGCATATTCAGCACGGACTGTTTTTGATCAGTAAAGAACATATGTATGTTATGCTGCATGATACAAAAGACCTTAAGTATTAGAAGACGCCAGAAATTGTTCCACCTCTCCCTGTTCTCTCTGACGAGGTATCTCCATGTTTTTATATTATAGTGGTTTGCCACCCAAATCAATTTAGGCGTCCTATTGAATGTTTTAGACATTCAAGACTTGACCATAATACATCGATCATCAATGGCAGTTTAACATCTACATGTGGAGGTTGTGCACTCAAAATCCTGCTAGTGCAACCTCTGAAAGCTCGCATGTGCTAGCTGCAAATGCAAAAGTTCACTTGGCAGCGTCATAAATCTGCATTGTGAAATTGCAACAAAATATATTGCTTTGGCTGTCTAATGTGCTAGTCATAAGCAAAGCAGTAACTGATATATTACTGTACTAATTTATTTCCACTATTCGAAGTATCCAGGTTTGAGATTCCAGTGAAATCTGCAGCACTTGTCTTCAGGCAGGAGGGAACTAGGCATGTCATATGAATATGCTTGCCTTTCTACAAGTTCTCACCTCATTAGTGAAAAATAATTAACAGATAGTTGCACTTCATGTTCTTTCTTGCAGGCTGAGCATCAAATTGAGTACGTTGTGGAAGCACACGATGCCGAAAGCATGAAGTCATGGCTGTCTACGATCCGGTACTCTATGCAGCACCTAGGTGATTCAGCTGATGAGAACATGTAAGTTTTGACGCGGCATAAACATGTTAATCTCGCATCATGTTTAAATGTACCAAGGTGATTATTGCAATTCGGTGTAGTTACTGTTTGATATGCAAATTCTTTTTCTTTATGTTTTCTTTTACATATACACATGTATATGATGTATACATATATCTCTTCTCTTTACTTGTATTATGTGTCATTACTGTACTTTTTCTTTGTACTGCTATAAATACTTTTTATTCATTGTGTATGGTTATGTCGCCTATGAATGTATATGCATGCTGCATTGTGTATGGTCCACCAGGCAACATTAAGCTGCATTTTGCCACTTTTCAACTGGGGTTCCCCAATTATTATACTAGAAATAAACTTGATTGATTGAAATGGCCAACATAACTTTGAATTGTCATGTTGACGATGGTGCCAGTGGGCATGTATATGTCAAGATAAGAGAGCTGCTTGTATACTGGTTCTCTCATGCCGTATCATTTTGTCCTGCTGTGTTCGCAGAAGGCCAAGGTTGACGACATCACCGTCCGAGTCATTGGCGAGGCTTCGAGAGCAGCATGCAAATACCAAAAGTAAGCAGCCCTGTAATGGTTGTCGTTTTTGCATTTTAAACAGATTTCTTTACCGTGAGTGAAGGGACATGATGACATAGAACTGTTTTCGTTTTGTTCAACTTTGTTTCCACCGATATCACTTCGTTGTTGTTAAAAGTGTTTTAGCTCATGCCCATGGCACTTTCTGTTACGGGATGCAACAAAAACAGTGAGAGTGCTCCGCCACATTAATACGTCCAACAGTGCATTAATGTGCCAAGTGAAACAAACTATTTTGGAGTACTTCGAGAGTGGTTTGTTTTGAACTAAAGTAGAAGATGCCCGCTTGCCAATTATTTGTGGTGCTGGGTACTCGTAGCCGGTGTCGCGAGCAAGATTACTTCCTTATATCTGTAATTTTTATATTTGTATTATGGCCATTGAGCTGTTTGTGTTATTCCAGATTGAAAATTCATCGCTGTTTCCCACTCAATTTTGTCACAGGGGCAGTCAACAGCTATTCAAACAATTTTCAAGTTCATTTGGCATAAGCTAGCACAGTCTATGTGCAGTCGTCATTTTGAGGTCGTGGGTTCATGTGGTTTCTAGTTACCGCTTTATTCGTGAGAGAAATTATTGCGAAATTCTCTACCAACTTGACCAATCAGGCAAGACAATTGGTTGTCTGATTCCATATCTGTCTGATTGGCAGATCTGGAATAATAACAAAATGGTATAAAGTTATGTTATACTGGCCGACGTAATTGCTTCGTGGCATGTCAACATTGAAATTATAGCTTTACGACTTACTGCATTGCTAACTGTTTCCTGCATTCCATGCCTCTCTGCATGGCTGTTTTGCTAGCATTTCGAGCTATTAACCGAGTTTTACAAATTTTTGCAAATGTATTACCAGCCTTTGCCAGTCATAATCATTGCCAGTCAAAGGCTGGTAAATTATTGCCAGCATTTGACTATTCTTGTGGTATCAGTGCAAGACAAGGGACATAGGCAGTACAAAATGTGGGAACATTATGGAGACATTTACAAGTGACAGAAAGTGCTGGTTAACATTCAAGTATGGCACAGAATTTTAAATGAGGACAAAACGAAGAAGATGAGTACAAGAAAGCGCTCATCTTGTATCGTTCCTCTTCGTTTTCTCCTTGTTCGAAATTCTGTGCTCTCCTTGTCAAAATGGCTGATCAACAACTCATACAAATGCGCATCCTTCTTTCCCCTGGCTTCTTCGCTGCAGAGAATCAAATGCACACTGGTAGTGATACAAGTACTGTTATACTGACACTTCTACATTGAATCACCAGGGCCATCGGCAAAGAATTTTGTCGTATTACAAGAGCCTCACGCAGACGTTTACTGCCCTTCCTTGTAGAAGGCCCTGCCGAGGCAACTACCGTTGTCACTCCGAGCGATCTTCCTGTAGTTCGTGCCGTTGGAAGTGGGAGTGACGGTGGCGTCACGGCGTTACCACCGTCCGTCACCCCGGTCGTAGCTGTGGCTGGAGGAACCGGCAGTGGCGGTGGGGAGACCGCGGCAACGTCGCCACCCGCCGTTGATGGCGGTGCGTCCTTGTCTGGCGGAGAAGGTGGCGACTTGTACCAGTCACTACGCGAATATCCTTGGTTTCATGGGACACTGTCGAGGAGCGATGCTGCCCAGTTGGTGTTGCGCGAGGGTCCCCTCGGCCACGGCGTGTTCCTTGTGCGGCAGAGCGAGACGCGGAAGGGAGAGTGTGTGCTCACCTTCAACTTCCAGGGCAGGGCCAAGGTGAGCATGTCTTGACAACAATGGGAAACAGTGCACATGTTTAAATAGCCTTGCGTTTAGTTAGTTTGGCTCTGTGCCACCAGCTGCCCCTACAAATATGGTTGCTTGTGTTTGAATCTCTGATAAGCTGGTATTACACAAAAGGTAAAAATTAGCAGTCATGCTGGAAGCCTCTACTACAAAATTAATGGTGCTGTGTGGTAGTTGTGGCCAAAAGACACAGCCATCATTGAGTTTCCTCCTCCACAGCACCTGCGCATGACGCTGAACCCGGAAGAGCAGTGTCGGGTACAGCACCTGTGGTTCGAAACCATCTTCGACATGTTGGAGTACTTCCGGATGCACCCTATACCGCTCGAGTCTGGTGGCTCATCGGACGTGACGCTGACGGACTTTGTGCTTGCTCCTGGTGCGACTGGCGGCAATGAGGGAGAGCTACTCACCTACGGCGGCTCTGTGCGCCTTCACTCGTCCTCGCTGGACAACTTGCAAGCTGCCCATTTGCCGCACGGCCGCGCTGTTGAGAATACCTATTCCTTCGTCTGAAAGGCATTTGGCACTGTCATCGTGTTTCTCGGGAATGCCAGGACTGGTTCTTTAAATGTGCTTTTACCTGGAGCTGGATTTCGTTTCCAGCCACACTGAAGTGTGTTGGGGAAACACGAAAGGAACTCGCCAGTTTCTTCGTTCTGCACACATTGCGTGCTTTGTGGTTGCTGCTGGTGAAGTAAGTCGAGACGTCTTACCATCTGCAACAAGCTGAGCTTGTTCGCAATGCACTTGAACAATTGTGAAGCGAATGCGCATTTGACTTTTGCTGTTTGTGCAGTGCAGTGTTACGAAAGCTCCTGTTGGTACTGTAGTGGCAACGTTACAAGTATATTTTGCAAGTGCTGCTCCAAATTTTGGTACTTTTAATTGTGGACAAATTGTGAATAAGTTTGCAGCTACTCAGTTTTGGCAGTGTGTGTTCTGCTACTGAAGCAAATACTCCCTCTCCATGTTGATGTGAATTCTGCCAGACTTCTACAGTCAAGTCTGTACTTGTCAGTGTTCACATTATTCCATCATCCCAAGCAGATTCATCGAAAAATAGTTGCATGGTGTTGTATGTTGACGCTGTTAGAAGCTTTAGGATGATCTGCAGGAATATTTGATGCACCGAACCTGGAAAAGCATCACACCCACAAGAATTGCCGCTATGTGGGGCCGGGCAGTAGGCAAAAGTTCCTGCTTGTTTTCACTGTCATCGGCTTTCACTTCCAAAGGCTCGCTAGTAATGGCCAGCGGCTGCTCTTGTGAAACTTGAAAGTGGCCGCAGGCTCATCGCAAGAAGGGCTGCAGTTTTCCCCATTTTGCTCAAACGCAATTTGTCATAGCCACGTGCAGTTCACAGGCTTCCAGAACAATGAGCCTCGAAAATATGAACTTATTGGCAATTTATGGCCACACAGACTAAAGGTTGGTGCCAACTCGTGGAGCTGGCATTTAGTGGGACAACCGCATTTAAACACGAACAAAGTTTTCGGGACACATCTGGTGTTTTGACGAGAGTGCTTCTTCATTGAAAAATAGGTAGATGAGAATGGTTGTACAAAGATTGTGTTGCTACCTGCACAGCCTTCTTAGGGCACCTTATAAGCGTTTATATGTACTTGCTTAACGAATACTGTTCGAACAACGATTACTGAAGAAGTGTGCAGCAACTTCACTTGGCCGATGCGTGCGCACAGTTTTCACTTTAACAAAGCAGGGACACTAAAGGCTTACTGCAATGAAACTTCTATTTGGTTAAATTTGTAATCGGTGAGCAGTCACTACCATAGCGATCATCAGCCATGGTGGCATCATTTTTCCAAGTGTTGATATCTCGATTTACTTTTGAGAGTCTCCCGTGATGCACTCGTATTCTAAACATAAAACATTGTACGCAGGACCACTTTGTGTCCCTCCTATTTAAATCTGGACCTTTACAGGTCCCAATAATTTGTTGCAGTTTGCCTTTGATGGTGTACAATGCAAAACGGGTGGTCCATTTCGCACTGCTCCACATAATGAATGTTTCTCAATCGACGTAACGAAACACCAGAGCTTATCGAGGTGCGCGTGCTTGCTGTTTTGACGAGGGGCATTGTTGTGCAGCGAAATATTTACTCTGCGCTGTGCACTTCCACACCATGTGGAAGTGTGTTGTTTCGAGACAGCTGTGTGTTCGATGGCTGTTTTTTTTTTTTTTGCTGAGCGAATACAAATTGAATAACGTGTTACGACGAATGCTGTTAAAAAAGATCTTGTGTCCTCTAGTGTGCATAGCTTACAGTAGAGCGGATGCAAGATTGGCATGTCTTGGATAAGAAATGAATGCTTCCTGCCCGATCGAGGCTTCAACATGACCTCTCGGTCACAACCGTACTGTGATTATAGCATCGCCTGAAGGGCGTTTACCGTAGAGGCTTTCAGGTTAATGCTGTAGTGAAAAAATATATGAAAGGTAAACTCGCAAAGACGGCTGAACAGTCACCAGCTAGCGCGGTGTGTGTTCTTTACATGTCCAGTTACAAAACTCTTTTGCCAAGCTTTACGATGTGCTTGCTGTTTGCACGTTGCTGTGAACTTAGTTTTGTGATGGTCCTTACTCATATTGCTGAGGGGAGACTGTTGCTACATATAAGTTGAGCGATGTCATTATTAAGGCTGGAAAAAAATTTTCAAACTTATTGTTTGGGCTTGTAAAGAAGCAGTTAAAGTGTGTGATAAATGGCATAAAAATAATTGCTGTAAATTTTATGTAAGATGTGGGCTGCCTTGCGCATACAACGACGGACCACAAGTGTTTGCGAATGGGAGTTGCCAATGTATGAATCCGATGATTTCCATCTGCATCAACTTCAACGCACGATTCCAAATTCAAAGCTCTGCTGCCAAGCTGCAACAACGTTTTGTCATTTCACTCCTCCCATAACTGAAAAGCATTTGTGATTATGTGTAACTGTCATTCGCACATATTGTCCTAAATCACAAATTTGAAGCGGAGAAGTGATGCGACCTTAAATCGATTTAGAAAAAGTAAACTTTGACCTGCATTTGTGCAGGATGAGAGGAGACCCCTCGCTTGCTCAACATGTATGCATTGTTTAATAAGTGTTTTTAACAGTCTACCTAGCATTGATGCACCTGGATGTTCCTGAATGCTAGTTCTTTCAGTCGCATTAAAATGTCCAAAAGTCATCCCTCTCTTCTTTCCCACTGACAGCATGTCGCCACAGTGGTCTGGCCTCGTGTGGCACACAACACACGAGACCAGACAACTGTGGGGAACTCTAGAAAAGCCCCAGCCTGTTGCTAAGGTTGCGAAAAGAATCTTCATGGTGATGGAACGAGCTTGACGGACAACATTGGAACCAGGATGTTGTGTTTCTGATATGTGCTTGCTGTTCACCATATTTTACTGGTCTGGCTACATGAGGACTGCACCACCACTTTGAAATTCAAAATTTTGTAGAGAAAAAAAAAAGGTTTCGATAAGTTCTATTCGTGTATCCGCATGCTGGTTAAATTCTGCCACTAATAGAGAGCACTAGTGACCGTCCAGCCAATGACAGGACAGTAAATTTGCCAAATCGTCCACTAGTGCTACTGGCTGTGTGCCAGGCAGTTGTACAGCTATGTCACACTTTCGAATGTACCACACCGTTGACAGTATAAACTGCAGCCTTGAATTTCAATGTGACAGTGCTGTCAGTGACAGTATTTAGCTTTAGGAGTTTCCTGTAAAATGGTAAACCGGGCTCGAGCAGTTATCAGGCTAGTAAAGTCTGGCAATGTTGTGCACGGCAACAGTGACGCGAGACTAACCGCTTTCAGGCGAGGGATGTGAAGTGCGCTAACGCAGTGTGTACCATTAAAATGCGATTTTGTTTCAAAATAAGCACTTTTTTGGCACATAAGTAACACTGAGAAGTTTCTGGACCACTATTTCAACAATCAACGTCCGACTTAATAGTTGCCTTTAGTGTCCCTTTAACGAAATAATGCAACTATGCAGTAATAACTAATTAAGTCACTGAGACACTAATTATAAATTTTATTCTAAGTCCAAATTCATGAAAACCTTCCGAATTCCTTCTTTAGTCAAATAGCATGCACATGTGGCATGCTGACTCGCCATGGTCTCGCTGCTGAGGTGCTGGCAAAAGGACGTGAACTGACCCTGATGCGCAAGCATGCACTCCATCTGTTGCCTAGATTTCACATTTTTATGATCTCTCGATACACAACCGGACGCACCCAAATTTTTTTAGCAAGATGTGTCTTGCGAGTGGCAGAGAACGATCCAAAGAGGCCAAACAAGTATAACAGGAATTGACGGCTGAAAGAGTTAAAAGTAGACTTATATGAGTATACGAGCACTTTGAATATTAGAACAAATATTACAGTATTCCATTTCTCTTAGATAAGATTTTGAATTATTGGAAATTTCGAAGAATTCGAAACAAACAAATAAATGCATAGTAGTCAGCATACAACTCCCCTGTAAAGGTGGCTTCACTGCAAAGAAGGAATGCTGCATGGTGAACATACCTATCAAAAAAAAAAAAAAATCTGCACTGCCACAAAACCCCACTTTACGGTACCCTTCTAATGATTTTTTATTCATTATGTTAAAGAGGTCCTAATACAGGCTTATGTGCTTCAAGTGTAGTAAATTTAAAATGTAACATATTTCTCAGGTAATCACTCGCACTCTTCTGAAAGTCAAATCCCACTACTATACCAAGTTGCTTGCGATTCCTTTGAACCAAAAAGAGTGGCACTTGCACATGCTTTATTTCAATTTTTTAGAAATATCGGGCAGCTTAGTTGGACATGAAAAATATGCTAATTTTTCTTTATAGTCAATTTGCTTCGAACCTAGAATTTACTATTCGCACAAGCCTACTTCAAAGTGTTTATAGTTGGTCATCAGAGGTTACGTTATTTCACATACCAACATCACTTAAAGTATATCGCTCGAAGTTCCAGGCTTCGGTGATATACCTTCACCAATGTAGGTAATTTTAAGCGCATCAGGCATAATGTTTAGTGTTTTCTCTGCATCTGTTTCACATACCACACGTCCCTGTTAGTGCTCTTTCAAGTATTTAATGAGATATAAGCATGCCTCGCCTAAAGCCTGCAACCTATTAGAGAACACCAGGCTTCATGTGTAGCACTTGGCCGAGTTACAAGTGTCAGATTGGAGAAGCAGCCTTCATGGAGACTTGTAAACTCTCTTTTAGAGTGACTACTTCAAGCACAGTTGCAAGTTACCCAGCAGGAGGGCATCAATCATATTGTGAAGTAAAGAAGTAGCTTTGTTGAGAAGCCTTGTTGCCCCAGTACCTCGCGATTTAAACCTGCACACCATTGCCGAACGTCACTATTCTAAAGTACACTAAAAAGAGGCTAAATATCTGAACTTATTGATACAAGTTCTACATAGAATAGGAACACAGCAAGTCTTGAAATAATCAGGATTAGCAAGATTTCAGTGGGCACCCAAGTGCAGTGCAGTCATCCATCTTAGCTGGGAATCAAACCTGCAAGCTCCCATTTTCTAGCAGAACGGTGCAGCCACTGGACAACTATGATGAACACTGACATCGCTGTAAGGTGTAGTGCTCCAGTAAGTACAATACAGAGATTCGACAAATAAAAGAGAAGCTTTACTGCCACCATTGCAAAAGAACACGAGGCACATGGATTTAACAGGGACTCAAAAAGGAGAGGCATCTACATACAAAAATACTCGGTGCACTAGACTCTGTACAATGTGCAACAGCATGCACCCGTTCCAAGCAGGCAGACCGGGTCACACAAAAATAATACTCTGCTAAGATTGCTTTACAAGGCATTTGCACACGTGCAAATATTGGCCCGAGAAAAATGACTCGATATGTCAGGGTGTCATTGTCAAGTGTACATACCGTATTGGCTGTCAAGAGAAGAGTGGTAATATATATGGGCACAACTTCCTCTTTTACATCATCCTGGGCCCCATCATGAAACAATCACTTTAGGCAACTCCTTCGCGAGATATCACTGTCATAAGTTCTAGCATGCCTACCTTTATAAGCGACAATGTTTTGGCCTGCAGCATCTACAGGCATGGAGAGCACATCTGGCTTGTCTTTCAATTTTGGCAACACTGTCACTAATGTAAAATTTCAAATGTCTTGGAATACGGCCCCTGATATCTGCCAATATACCTACTTGCAGTGTAACTGAGCGCGTAGTAGTCAATTCTGATAGCGTCCATACAGTATTACCATTCATACTGAACAAAAAAAAAGTAGCTGGCCCTCTGCAATTGTGCCTGAAGCCGACATGAGGTTTCAGGTGTTGGTAAGGGCCGCTGGTTATATTTGACATCATGGAGTTCTGAAGGACATTTGAACATTTAAAGGACCTCGGACAGCAAAACTTGTGTTTGCAAGTTTTTTACAATAATTTGTAGGTTCACGTCTGGTAATGCCAAAATTATATTGCTAATGCTCTAACGTATCCTATACTTAATGCTAGTGGCGTTAATTTAATTTAGAACGATTTCACACCAATTCGAAATGCCCGCCTAAATACCATAAGGAACTAGCACCCCATAGCGGAGCAGTGCCCGAGACTACGTGCCCCCAAGCTTCGGTGACACTGAAACACGCAGTTTTCAAATAGAGGGGAATCGCGGCCTTTGAAGAATGAAACGATGTGGGTGCTTTGAGCGTGTTCCCCTCAGAAAAAATAAAAGCATTTGTGGTGTAAGCAGCCAAGACCACCTGGAGAGCAGCCCGACAGCAAAGCGAGAGGGGTGACGAACAATAGTCCTCCCCGGGTGCCCGTAAAGGTATTGTCTACGCCCCACAAATGTTCTTGACCTCTGTAAGGTCACAAGGGGATCCCCAGTCTATGTGAAACCACAGAAAATGTCATTGTACCTAAGTACTTGGAGGAACATGCACGCACCGTTACTTTAGAACCAAATTGAAATATCTTTTAGGCAACGCTCACCACTAATAATCGCTCAGAGGTGGCCCCGCATGCAGGACTGTCGAACCACACAACCATCTCGAGTTTCCAAATTTGGTGTCAGGGGTCCTTTAAAGGAAGGCGGGACCAGCAACAAAAATACCATCACAATTGTAACATACGCCTGACATGATGACACTTAGGCTTGGTTATCTGTTCTACTGACAGATGGTCAAATACATTCCATTATTTTAACAACCATTAAATTTCTAAAGGCAGGCTAGCTAGTTTTCAATGTAAGGCTCACCACATGATTTCATAAATATAAGTTCCAGAGGCCTACCATACATCAAATGGCACCCTTATACTCACAGTCCTTCCATGTGTTGTATAAACACTCAAATACTGCATTTTCTCAGGTATAACCTGACTCATCTCTTCACTAAGTTGTCTGATGATCATGTGGGACAATAGGGCTCAGGTTCAAAACAAGCGAAACAGTGTCACCCATTTTTCAAATTTCAAATTTTATGTTGCAGACTTTTCTGCACCAAGACTGGTTGTAGGAGTCGTTAAAATTGACAATATTTTAGCTACTTCATCACTGCCGCCAGAAGTGGTCCAGAGCATTGTCAAATTCACATATGCAAGCAGGCTAGTGGAGCAGTTGTGACTAGCTTATGTCAAACACATCCATGCTATGAATATTTTACCTATTGCCGCACCAATAACTAAAGGATAAGATTGCTAGTTCACAATACGAGGCAATAAAAGGCATAGCGACTTATAAGCAGTTAATTGCCGTACCACAGACTCACTGAAGTGCACAGTTGAAACTATGTCAACTACAGCACACACATTCCATATCGCTTCAAATAATCGGCTCATGTGATTGCATCAATATCTCATTCAGGTTACTCGGAAGTAGCACCACAACCTTAACCTTAACTAAATATTTCTTACGAATAAAATACCTGCAAAACAAGTGCATTTATAAGATAATATCAAACTGGTGTCGGATTTGTTTCATCACCGTAAGTTATATTCTTATTCCTTTGTATGTAGAATGCAGAACATTGATTTCAAGCCTATTTTTCTAATTTAGCAAGGTTCTCAAATATTGGTTAAATTCTGAGAAACTGAAGCACCACATCACTTTACAATAAAAACAACACAAATTAACTGAACTGCACACAGAAAATGTTTCCAAATCAGACAGATATGATGTG